GTTGAATGTTGTTGTTTGTTTGCTCATGCACCTTGGAACAAAAGCATACATCTTTGCTTTGCTTTTTTCATTAAAAAATGTTAATATCTTGTTAGATTTATAAAAGGAAGTAAAAGTGAATCATTGACGTCACTTAAACAAATTTGTGTTACTTTTGACAGTGATAAAACCTTGGTCAAAGACCGTTAAAACAAGAATTTTGAAAGATGTAATATTAGTCTTTGTAAAATTATTTTTGTAAGAAATACGTTGCATAAGTCACATCATGAGAAATATTTTACAGGCAACGAGTTGCCAGTGTATTAAACCCTGCTACTATATCAAAAAAAAAGATGTATAGTAAAGTAGACGATAAAATTCAGAGGCAGCACTTTTTTAATTTAATTAATAGTGGCATTGATATAGTGTGCCGGAAAGAAAACGGAAAGAAATACAAGTTTATATCGTTTAGATCCAATGAAACAACTAGATGATTAGTAGATAAGAAAATAAATTAATGTATTATTCTCATTACGTCTCTCATCCCTCAGTATTTTGCGCTAGTAGATAACTGCTGAAAGGGTTATATTACGGTTTACTTTTCAAGAGGTGAACAAGATACCAGAATCGCACAATGAACTTGATCTATCTTGATATTTAAGTGAATTGACAACGATCAAACTTGATTCACTACTGGACTTTCTACCTTGGAACATCCTCTGCAATTAAGCATGTTCCACAAAAATCCCGAACAAATTCAGAAAATTAAATTTGAAGCCGCCTCTGCGCTGATCAGCCACCACCAGACTTGGAGCTGCGAGCTGCAGCCTGCAGCCGCCGCGCATCGGGCTCGCGCACGGGCCGGCAGGCGTGGTGGGGGTAGGCTGTGTAAAGTGAGGTGGGTATGGCAATCTAGCATACAGGCAAGGTAATCCTGCAGCTATTTCTCTTCATTTGCTTTTTTTTTCTTTTTACGGCTGTCTCATCTCTTCTCGACTGTGGCGCCACCGGTGAATGGTGGACAGATCTGAAAGGTCCGTGGCTGTGTCTACTGCTTTTTTGTTTTCTTCGAAAGGAAGTGTTTGTTTACTTTCATCTTTCTTTACGATACGCTGCACCGCTTGTAGTCTAGTCATGTGTCATGCGCGTGGTGGCATCTTCAATTAACCCTTCGTCGTCAATTGAACCTTCACTTAAGACGCTTTGTGTGAGGGCATGAAGCATTGCCTTTGCAGTCTTTGCAGCGCCGGCAAAAGGAAGTCTGATCACTGGCTTCTGCTTTCTTGCTTTTTCAAATACTAGGTTCAAAACAGGTTTCATTTCTGAGTTAGATTTAAACATGAATCCTCCAGAGGTTGTCAGTGACACTAGAACAACACAGCAAGATCTGGAAGAAAATGGACAGACGTCGGCAACTATTACTGATGATTCTGCAAGCAACCAGAAGACTGATCGAGAACCAACAGCAATCGAAGATGCAAAAGTTCATTGTTGCATAAAGTAAATCTCCTCACACATGCAAATTAATGCTTTTGTTGTAATACAACTACAGTATGTATCATTATCTTATTTTGTTTCAGGACTTTATCAAAAATTAGTGCCAATGTTTCCCCGAACTTGATTTGTCCAATGATGACAAAACTTCACTTTCTGGCCACTCGTTTAGAGATTTATGCAATGCTTGGTGCTCTGTTTTATGTTGTTATTTCTTTCCCCTGGGCTGAGTCAATTCGTGACTCAGCTCTTCAACTTGCTGGACTCTACATAACTGCACAGTTATTTGGCGTAGTTACAGGTTTTGCTCGTCTTCCACCATTGCTAGGCATGCTATTAGCTGGTGTATTGTTAAGGCATGTTGGCTTTTTTCATGCTGAAGGCCTATTTCTTAAATTCACTGCCACTTTGAGGTATAAATTTTAAACTGATTCTTTGATAGACATGAGCTGCTAAATACCTCATGACTTCCTCAACCTGACATCGCATGTAATTTTAACTTGCTTATTTTACTTTGCTAGGACTACTGCCATGACAATGATTCTTATCCGTGCTGGTTTGGGACTTGATGCTTCTGCCCTCCTTCGTCTAAGTATGGTTGTTGTGCGGCTCTCTCTGATTCCATGCACTATAGAGGCAGCCACTGTGGCAGTCATGTCCCACTTCCTTTTAAACTTCCCTTGGCAGTGGGGATTTTTGTTGGGGTAAGATTTGTTAAACACTGAGTAACACTCTTAAGATTTGCAATGTTTTTATCTGTATTATAACCATGTAATCTTCTATTAGATGATCTAATCTAAACTTTTTGCTTTAGTTTTGTTGTTGCATCTGTCTCACCTGCAGTGGTTGTACCTTCTCTCATTGTGCTTCAGTCTAATGGCTATGGTGAGAATAAGGGTGTTGCCACCCTAGTGATTGCTTCAAGCAGTATTGATAATATTTTTTCAATCACTGTGTTTGGAGTGGTTCTTTCAACAATATTTTCAAAAGGTTGGTCTATCTTTCACATCTTTATGTAATTAATTTATTTTATTTACATACCATCTAAAAATACTATGACTATTTCTTTAAAGGTTCTGTTACTGAAGTTATTATGCAAGGCCCTTCCGAGGTATTGATAGGAATAACATGGGGCTTTTTAATGGGGATTATCTCAATTTACATTCCTCACTGGGAAGAGGTAAGACCGTTTTTCAATGCTCGACTTTTTTCAAAGTTGATTGTATTAAAAAAATTCTAACGACATACATAACTAGATTGCATAGTTGTTATAATAATTTCTTTGTAGAGCTCTGTTACCCAATTGCGCACAATCATGGTTGGTGCTAGTGGTCTCTTGACTGTCCTTGGGAGTCAACTTGTTGATTATACTGGTGCTGGACCCCTAGGATGTATCGTTGGTTCCTTTGTTGCGGCCTGTGGCTGGAAAGCTTTCAGTCCTGTAACTTCTTATGTAAGGCCTTTCACAGCTATCCATTTCTTTAAAAAATTTGCACCAAGCTCTAATCATACATTAAATTTTTCTTCAGGCACCTGTTTTGGTCAACATGAATGAGTGCTGGTTGTTTTTTCAACCTTTTCTATTTGCACTTATTGGAACGGAAATTAATCTGAAAACTCTGGATCTTGACAATACCTTGCTAGGTCTTGGTATCATATTTGTGGGCGTTCTGGTTTGTGTTTGTTTTGAAAACTATAATATTATGTTTGTTCGTTGGAAAACTTGCATTACTCAATACTTCATTCACAGGTGCGAATATGTATTTGCTGTTTAGCTGTGCAAGGTTGTGGATTCAACTTAAAAGAAACTTTATTTGTTGGTTTATCCTGGTTACCTAAGGCAACGGTGCAGGTTAGTGAACTTTTTTCTCTCACCAATAGATTTCAGATTCCCTGTAATATCTTTTACTGAGCGGAATATTCAGTTGCATGTTTTTTAATTTATATATTTATATTTTTTTTAAGGCTGTTTTAGGACCAGTTGCACTGGACTATGACGGTCAACATTATGGGTATGTGTAAATGCTTATTGTGATGGCAGATATGGTTTTGAACCAACATTGTATTTTCAAATTAGTCTTAATT